AATCAGGGTTGCCCTCGCTTTAGAAGCCTGTATGTAAGGAGCAAGATATTCACAATATGGACAATGCACCTCTGCCAGAAAACTCTACCTTGCCTTACTGCAATAAAATATTCCACTAATGAAAACAAAACCATTGCTAAAAGGCAAGTCTTGCTGGAGTAAACACATCCACATTCAGGGATTTTGCAAGCCTGGCAATCATGCCTCTTCACGCCCATCCAACGTAGGTTGACCATTACTGACGTCCGCTGGCCCAGCTAAGAAACAGAGGCAATTTAGAGCCAGAAGCGTTAGGATGGCATCTCACTAGCAGAAATGCTAAGCAAAGAAGCACGATACTTCTCAAATCTCTTGCTATTAATTTATTATCATCAAGGACATGCCAGCAGCCCTGAAAGGATTTTTTCAGAGAACTATATCTGCTGTAACAAAGAGTTGTTCCCACCCACTGCTGTTAACATCTCGAGGACCACACAAGTGGTGTAGGATATCACTTGGCTAGAGTCCCTGTCCCCTGGACGGCATCACTGTGTGCCACCTCCCAAAGAAGGCACAGCTGGCATCTTATCAATGCACTAGTGCAGAGGATGAGGAAGTTGGTGCACTTTGGATTCATTTCCAGCAGAGGAGATCTTACGTAGCCCGGGGTTTTAAATGGCCGCGCTATCAGACTGATGTCACAGCTCTTCTTTCAGGTTTTCTTGCACACCAGAAGTATTGCCAAGAGCAGGCTGGACAAGGGTCGAGCAGGGCTTCCCCCAGCGTGGCTCACAGCTTCCATTCATGAGCTGGTCAGGTGCATCTAGGCAGGGCAGAGCTTCCGCCGCAATCGGACGGCCAGCCAAGAGGAACAGCCGTACACAATGCCATTAGGAGAAGAGAGAACGCGATTCCTAAGGATTTTCCTGTCTTTTTCTTCCAAAATATCATAGACACTTAATTTCTAGACACTCATTGTGTTCAGAACACTGCTAACAACATAACTAAATACTGCTGTTAGATTTTTGAGTAAAAAACTATTCTTGGAACAGCACTTGTCCACCTCTTCCAAATAAAACATTCCTTCAGTGGCTGAATCGCCTCCCTGCACAGCCTAAGCCATAAACAGTTAATATTTACACTACTTGGTCTGCTACAAGATACAACTAGTATAACTGGATCTTCTGTATGACAAAGGAAAATAGCTTGGCCTTACAAACAAAGCTCACAACAATGCAGTCGTATGCTCGCATAATATTCACGTTCCCCAGTATTAAAAACAAAGTCTCAAATGAAGAACAAGTCTTTTGACCTGGTAGCTAAGACTGGATGGCCACATTACAATTGTCAAGCAAAAAAACACTTCAAAACAGGAATTTCAGGATTTTTGTATATTTAGAGAAAGTCTAATCCAGACTTTCAGAAAGTATAATCAAGCTTTATCATTATATAGACTGACTTTATCCTATTCATAACCATGTGAAGGATTATTTAAAAATACTGACACTGCAATCTATACAGTGATTCCTTCTGAAATATTCAATCTGTGGAATGATACAAACAATACAATTGCACCCTTGCCATTACCAGAAACAGCTATTCAAGCAGGCCAGATGAGGCAAGCCAGAAGAAATCGTATAACAGTTGCAAGAGAATTTAAAGTGCCCTTTTCTCTTTAAAAATTCCTATTAAATGGAAATTAGAAGCATTTTATTTTCAGATGTCAAAACAGAGGATTAGAAGAAAACGAACATTACTGCACTGGGTTATCTACAAGCTTCCAGGCTGAATGTTGGTCAAACACAGACATATATCAAAATATTTGTCTCAAAAAAAAAAAACCACCAAAAAAACACTTCAGCAAAGCAATTTAACACACAAGTAAAGAAGCAAACGGGATTACCTTTCAATATGAGGTAAATTATAGTGTTCAACTCATATAAAACTACAACAGTTTCAAAACAAAACAAGAGGCACACAAATCTCCCTTCCCTTACACACACAGTCTTTATTGCCTCCCTACTCCCCGCAAACAGCATATAATAATCATTTGTCCAAAATTATAGCCTTGCAGAGAAAAAACAACTCTGTCAGGCCTTCATGAGTGATTGTCTTTCCAAATAAACAGACATGAACTACCAATCAGTTAAACAAACAAACAAACCCTTTAAACAGGGTTTGAAGCCCGGAGGATGGAAGAAGGCCACAATGCAATTACTTCTCCATCTCTTCTCTACATAGCTCTCCTGATAAAAAGGGAACAAATGGTTGTGAAGGCTGGAGAAGACACAGAATTTTGTAAAGCTCTGCAAGCTGGGAAGAAAAAGAAAGCCACTGTAGTTTAATTCTTGTAAAACACAATAAACAAGCAACTTTTCTGATGGGTAAGAAAAGTCAGTATCAGGAATAAAGACAGAACAGAAAGTTCAATTATTTAAATGACTGCATGGATGAAAAGTCTTGAGAATGGTGCAAAGCTAGAGCTCGATCTGGATCACCCATCAGAGAAACCGCCTGGTCAACCAAGAAAGCACAGCTCAGCCCACCACACACAAAACACTGTGGTTACACACAAAACACCGTGGTTACAGCTAGATTTAGAGAGAGAAAGGGAACAAAAATATCTAGACCCATCCTCATCACTAGCAAAACAAACAAATGTTGGTCCTATTAGAAAGGAGATGAGCACATAAACTCCGTTTAACAGTGTTTCCATGGTCTGTGCAGGTATACAGAGGTTTACAGTACTCAACTCCAAAATAAAACAGTTTTAGCAACATCTGACAACCTATTCTGTTTTGAACTAACAGGAAAATTTAGAAAGAGTTTTAATAATAAATTACAAGATGAACACAGCTAGGGACCAAGAGGTCAAAAAATATAATACAGCATTTCAAAAGATGTGACAGAAGATAAATATGTATATTTTGGACACTTTAGTTGCAGGACATCAAGGTTCTTCCAGGAGCTTGATCCCCAACTAAAACAGTACAGGATAACTACGAACAACATAGTCAACCATAAACTGGCTCAAGCAACTGTAGTGGAAAACTTGACAGACTAACACAAGATAGGACAGGCTGCACAGCCCCCAGCTGTTATTAAAAGCCATACTACTGCTGATAAAGCCATCCTGATAGCTGCTACCTCCCCTCCTCACACTGCTTCCACGTCCCTCCAGCCTTCAAAGTAATCCACAGGAGTTATCTGTCTCTGCAGCACTCACAAGCACTGTCATGCGCGTGAGGCTTCAGAAATGCTTTCTCAGAAGCTTTATTATATTTTTTTGCTTTTTCAGAAGTGCTTTCCTTTCTTTACAGGGTCTGGAATGGGAAAACCCAAGGGAAATCACAATGTTTGTTTTTCCCCAGCCATTGGCTGGAAAGGTCTCTCTTGCAATAGTGCTCAGGAAGGATGTAAAGGAACGTACGGGAAGGAAACCGCGGCCACCAAAAGGAAAAGTCTGACAAAGAAGTGCGGATTCAGTAAACTTCTATATCCCACATAACGAGCAATTAAATTCTCAAGTAAAAAAAGTTTATTTTCTTTCTTTCTTTCCAGTATTATAACAACCGTCCTTGATAGTTTATTGGAAAATCCAGCAAACTTTGCAATAATATTACAAAAACAATCATCACAACCACACATTACAGTCCCTGCAGAGAAAACCATCATTTCCACTGAGACAGGCTGAGAAAGTCTGTGTTGTCAGCACTCAGCTAACAGTTTGCACAGCTAGGTCACTGACTCACTTCGCATTTAAAGGCCATCATCATCATCTTCAATCACAAACTACTGGAGCATGAAGCAACTTCTGGGTTGTTCTGATTTCCAAAGTTCATATAGAGTCATTTCTCGTCAATGCCATAGAGGAGGTTGCCGGCACAGATGCTGAGGCCATCACACTGGGTTTGGTGCTAAAGATAGAGCTGCAGCTCTTTAGTTTTGGGCAATCTAATGAAAAACGGGAATTTTACCAAGACCTCTATTCAGTGCCATCATGAAGCTAATGCTGGGAATCCTTGGTCTAGAGCACTAGTGCAGAAAGTCTAAGCACATTTTCTTTCTTCTGTTGCCACTTTAGGATGGAAGAAAACACCAAACTAAAATGAAAGGTCTGCTGAAGAGACATGCTACATCGTAATCAACCCTGTATCCACCTCTCTGAGCCTCCCGGAGACTTCCCACGTACAGGATTCCTCCATGCACACGTACAGCTGCAGCATAGAACGAGTTCTTGTTTATAATCTGGCATACTTAATATTTTATAATAAAGCAACCAATGGTATGGAAACATAAACAGATCTGGATATGTTTGTCAGACAAACCTGAATAGAATTTCATAAGGCAAAACATTGCTCCGGAGCACTTGACACTTTTCAAAGGCCTGTTATAAACAATGGAAGTTTCAGTTTACTTAAAATTATTAAACATCTTTTCTAATGGAAAAGTATTAGGCAACTAAAACCCTGAGTTCCTCATCAGCTTTCAAGCATAAGGCCACTACAGCAACAAGAAATAAACATTCACATTTCTCAGATATTATCTATGGTTCGAAAACAGACTTCTGCACCAGCATGGGACATGTACCTTTCGTGTCAGACACTTCACTTCTTGCTCTACACATTCCATCTGAAGATTTGCTTTGACATACACATTTCATAAACCCACACAACCTCTGCGTAGTGGTTTTGCCAGCCTGTCACACGCGAGCACTGAGCTGCACATACACCATTACAATCACTGGTAAAACTCACAGTTTCAGTGAAACGCTACGAAGTGTTTGTTGGGGATCTGAAGCACTACAAACACATGCACAATCTGAACTTTAAGGACAAATAAACACGGAAGAAAATCAACAGAACTGTTCCCCTACTTAAAGAAAAGGCACAAGTGCCTGCAGGGCTGGGACACCGGATGGAAAGCTTCTCAATGTCAAACTGCGCACGCTGTACCGAGTAACACATGCCAAAACTACCGGCGTGTCACGCTGCACGCTGCTTTTAATAAACACAGCCTACCTCGTCCACTGAGTGATGTGAACAGCTCTGCAGAAACAGATTTTGAAAACCAAGCCGTCGTCATAGCGAAACTAAAGGCGGGCAAGGTCGTGGCACTGCCGGGCCCGGCTACACCTTCCCGGGGCCCATTCATTCAGGGCAGGCAGCGTCCTGCTGGCTGCGGAGCTCCGCGCAGAGGGAGATTTCCCACAGAAACCTCTCATTTTCAACACAGAGAATAACCAGAGGCCAAAACCCACCATCC